CCTCCCAAAACTAACCTACCTGTTCCAAACCCTCCCAATCTGGATTCCCCCAACCCAACTCTGCAAATGGCAGAGGAAACTACACTCTTTTATCTTCTCCCACAACACTTAACAGGTACACACAGACCACGCTCAAAGCATGGAAAACAGAAATAGGCAAACTATCCCCAACCCCACTAATTCTCACTAATTTTGTTTGCCCACTTTTATTTCCCTAATTTTATCATAATTCCTAATATTTTGCAATAGGATTTCTAAGGTATGGATAAACAATAAGAGAGACAGTGGGCACCCTTGTCTTGTTCCTTTCTTGATGTTGCATTTATCTGAAACGATAGTGTTTATTATCATCTTTGCCCATTGTCCCTTAGACAAAGCGGTAATGCTTTTCAAGAAGACGTCACCTGGTTCCATTTTTTAAAACACTTCTTTCACGAATGCCCAGGAGATGTTATCAAATGCTTTTTCTGCATTGAGGAAAATGAAGGTGGCCTGTTTTTCATTATGTCCCTCCAAATAGTCTATTATATTTATAATATTCCTTACGGTATTTTTCAATTGCCTATCTGGGATAAATCCTGCTTGAACCGTATGGATCCACTTGTTCAACACTTTTTAAAGCCTATTGCTAATATGGTTGTAAATAATTTTTAATCGCTATTCAAAAGTGAGTTTGGTCAGTAGTTTTCTGGGTTTAGTTGGTCCTAATCCTCCTTTTGGGATTAGGGTTAATTTTTGTTAATTTCATTGTACACAGGTTGTACATTGACAATAAAGGTATTTCAATTTTCAAGGGTGATATATGCCTCTTTGCATGATTCTGGAATCTGTCCTAAGGTTAACACTCTGTTCATAATATATTTTAGTGGTATTACTAGCTCATCTTGGAATTTCTTAAAATAGATGGCAGGAAGTCCATCTAGACCCATGGTCTTACCAAGTTTTGTTTGATTGAGTGCCTGTTGGATTTCCGGCAAAGTGATCGGAGCATTTAATATTTTTGTCTGCTCCCCTGGGATTCACAAAGTTCATAATTACCAAGCTGTTTCTGAATCAACTTGGCACTACCTCTATGTTGCAGCAGAATGAATACCAACAAGGAACAAGAAATCAAACAATACACATGTATATCCAGCAGCTGTCAAAAGGGGAGCAATAGCAACCTTCCATTAGGAGTTGCAAGAATAAATAAGGTAATGTTGTTGCCCATGCCTTAAAAACAGAGTCTGATATAAATCTAAAAAATCTCCTCCCCTTATAAGACTTCTACACAAACCTAGAGGGACCACTTCAAAGATCAGAGGGTAACTCTATCAATGTCCATTTAGGCATTGCTTTTTCTGTTTCATATGGTTGACAATTTGTGAGAACTGTGATTATGGCTTTGTGATATTAACACCTTTCTCCTCAGAAGCTGAGTGAGACCACCAACTCATTTCACATAGGCCAGCTAAAAGCCATCAGATACTAATGACTTCTGGTTTCTACCCACCTGGGCTACATTCAAAAGGGTGACCCAGAGGTGAAGGTCTCTATATCCCATTACCAAGCTCTCAAACCATCTAGTCCTCCTCTGCAGTAAAAGTTACATGGCAGTATAAAGTCTAGAGTGATAGTAAAATCTCTATAGATGTGAAATCAGTCTTCAAGTTCATGGCCAGGTAGGAGGGAAGTTCAGATGCTTTTCGCAACCTAAAATTTTTCAGGAAACATAAAAAATCATTCAAAAGCAGCAGCTACAGAATGAATATCAATAAAGTCAAAACGAGTATTTCCCTCCCTAGAAACTGACTTATTTCTGCTCATACAATAACTAGGCACTCACACTTCTAGACCATACCATACCATGCTGTAGCCTATTGTTTATCATTTAGCATCCTCTATTGCTGATAAATCCGCTCTTGGGGTTTGTAAGTTTAACAACCACATGTCAAGAAAAATATCTATTCAAATGATACCACATTATGAAAACAACAGATAGCAAAGCACAGCCAATGGGAATTTAGAGTTCCACTGGTGGGATTGTAGCCATTTTGAAAGGTTGTACATGCAATCCCAGCTGCACTCCCTTGGACAGGATCCAAAGAGGATTAAAAATTGTTAACTTTGACTAAATTGAGACGTATTTTAATTACTAAAGCATTTTAAAATGAAGCTTGGGTTGTAAAATACTAGAGTGGCGGGGGAAACCCAGCCAGATGGGCGGGATATAAATAGTAACACAACCACCACCACCACAAAAAATTACAGGTTTAACATTTTTCAGATTTAGGAAAAATGAGGATAATGTGTTATTTTCAACCTGTGAAACACTGTTCTAATACTTTGTTGAGTTTAAATTGTGATTAGCTCTTCCATTTTAAATCAGGGGAACTCAAATGGATTTCACCATGGATGGATTGTGGCCTCATTTTTTATGTAACTATAGGATATTAGTTTAATAGGGCCTGATTCTTCCCAGCACATACTTAGCATCTTCATACGGAAGGGTATAAGACAGTCCTGTTGTCCACCCTCAGTATATGTGTCTAAGTGCACACAGAGACACCTTACTCAACTACTACATGGAAAATGAGGTCTGTGTGTGCTTCTCATATTTCTAGCCAATCTTTCCCCACTGCTCAATTTAACTGAAGGGAATATGGGAGGCACATACACAAAACCCTTGCATTCCCTGTAATGACCTGTGAGTGTGTGAGTCTGTGCCTACACACCAAGGGGAGCAATGGGCAGAAACAGAGTATATCCTACTTTTTTACCCCCCTCCCCCCAAAAAAAACCCCTACACAAACACCTTACAGGGTATCTCCACACTTGCATTTCGCAACATTTTCTGTATTTTTAAAGAAATGCTGAGATTTTTGCAATTCCAAAAGTTAAAAAAGATAAATAAGAATAATGTCCTGCAGATTAAGAAAGGTAGCTTGAAAAGCATAAAACAAACATGCTGCAAATAACACTGAGTTTTAAATATTTTGTTTCAGTGTAATACTGAGACATGATCCGATAAAGATGAAAGTGAAGAATTTTGCCAGCAGAGTTACTTATGAACATTTCTCAGTTATGCCTTTCAGCTGGTATATATATATATATATATATATATATATATATATATATATGAAGGATATCTTGTTAAAACAACCGTTGAAGGCAAGTCATGTCATATCAGCCCACACACCATACCCTATGGGGCTCAAATGTTTCAAAGTCTATGTTAATATAATCTTGCTGCACATTTCAACAGGGGGACTAACGTCTTGGTTGTTTTTCCCCTCCCTCCCAGTGACACATAAGGCTTCTATAAGTACCACATTATCTATATGTCTTCCAGAAATGAGGTTAAGGCTGCAGTAAGGATTAAACTGAATCAATTTAGGAAGGATAGTGTTGTTAACAAGTACCATAAAATAGCCCAGCAGATTATTCTAATCTCCATTTATCAACTAACAAAAAGCATGTGCTTTTCTCAGTAAAGATTTCAGCAGTATATCTATACGGCAGGAGCATTTTCCAAAACCCATGCAACAGTTCAGCAAGGTGCTTGCTCCTGCTTTCAGACGCAAGATTTACTATACAATACCATTCACTTCTAGACATGAAGGGGGGGGTAGGGTTCCTTTAAAAATATATATATGCATGAGGGTCTTTGGCTACCTGAATCTTGTGAAATGAATGTGGTTTCTCCTGGCATAAAAACTTAAGCATAACATGTTGCAGGAGGTCCAGAGGCTCTGCTGCATTTCTCCCTATAAAGAGATGCAGAACTGTTTGCAGAGCAAAAGAACTGCCTTACGTCTGAACAAAAAAAGTAATCTAATAGGCTTAGAGGGAGACTGTACTATATCTGGCATTTAATACAGCAATTTCCGTAACCCTTTAAACCTTTGCTGGAGACATACAGAACAATGATGGAACTGCCAGTATTTACAGAGCATAATCGCAGAGTTTTCATCACACCTGACAGACCAATCCAGATTTATAAAGAACTGAGAGGTAAATATAGACACAGGAGTGGAAATATTTCTAGCCAGATGGATGTCCAGGACAATAAAAAAAGTTTTGTGTTTTATTTGAGGTAAGGTAATCAGACCACTTTAAAGGGTTCAAATAAAACGGAAACAACAATCTTTCTGATTAACAGAGCTTCAAGGATGTATTTTCCCAACAATTTTGCCCCAAACCAGCAAGAAGAATCCATATGCCAAATCTGGCTTTCCAAAGGTAAGTGACCCTTTGCATCAGGTCCTATCTCTGCAAAGCAACTGTGCAGAGCAATTAACAATTGAACAAAAAATGCCTACATCAAGCATGAATAGTTATGTGCAACACATACTAGTTTGCACTGAAGGGTCTGCAGGTGCACTTGACTAATGGATGGGCGATACGGTCTGAGCCAGGACACTGATCTGTTTTTGAAGTAAGGGGGTCAAATGCAAGCTCCTCTGTCATCCCATTCCCAAGCAAGCACCTTACGCAGTCCAAGCAGGCCACATCCACTATCTCATTATCAGGTGAGCACACACAAAAATGTCCACAGCAAGGTATATATAGACTGACTCAGTGTAGAAGTATGTGGCCCAATGACAGGGGCAGCTTCCTTGCGGAAGCTACTATCCCCCCAACATCTAGGCACAAATGTATTCCTTGCCAACCCTACCTCTGCGGTTCCCATAGCCTATGCAGCCCATTAGGTTCCCCGTCACTTTCTTTCCTGCTTTCCAAAAGTTACCAGCATGGGGAAGAGAAAAACAAATAGCATGGAATGCTAGGAACACCAGAAGGCACATATATCAGTTTCCAGTTTGTTAACATATTTATGCTACAAAGTTGTCATATTTGCAGTGTTGTTGAACTATGTGAATAACTGTATGTCACAGAGTTTTGCAGCAGCTTAAAGATAAGCATACTACAGCAAAAGACGTTATGAGCCAGAACCTACTCTTTCAGGTACATAAAATGTTGTTGATTCTTTTGTTGATTCTTTTGTTTTATCTTTTTTTGGTAAACGCTTTGAAATTAGTTTTTTACAATCAAACTGTGTATAAATTTAATGAAATAAATAAAAATAAGTAAGTGGTGAGTATACTCTGCATACAGAGAGAATGACGGTCCATATAGTAATTTGATGCTGCAATCTCTCCCGTTACTGAGGGTTTCCTCCCCTAAAATCATGAATAAATATCCCTCCTCTCTGTATGCAGGGAATATATATCTAGCCAAAAGTGACCATTTAATGCAACTAATGTAGTGGGCCTTGGACCACAAAAACGTACGGCACAATGTATTTGCTAATATTTAGGGTGCTACAAAATACGCTGTTGTTTCTGTTGGCTACAGAGTTCAGTAGCCAGAAGCCACATTTTAGCAAACTACAAAGCAAGACAAGAGTCTGAAATAACAAAATTAGTTGTCTGGTAGACAGTCAATAAAAACCATATACAATGTTTCACTTCCCTACCAAATGTAAATAAGTACAAAAAGACATATAGAGCTATGAAGTAGATGAAGTCGCAAAAGCAACAGTGCATCAAGACCTTGACATATCAGCTCCAGAAATCTTTTTTTAAAAAAATGCTAGCAATAACAGACAAAGGAACACCAGTCTTATTAAGCAAGAAACAGTAAATATACTGACAGCAGAACATGTAATATTCTGGATTGCTAGAATCCATTGCATAACCTGTATATGAACACCAAATGACTTATGCAGATAGAATCCGGCATTCTGTATTGCCCTGTAATCATGGAACACATACGTTTATCATTCACATCTGATTGTATCGCCACAGCAGTGTCAGTAAGCTATCTTGTTAGGGATATTTCTGCCACTTTCATCCTTCAATGCTGCAAGAACTCATAGATGGAGTCCCCTTGTCGTTCTTCAACACATTTGATTTCTTCTTGTAATTCACCAATATAAATGTTGCCCAATACCCTAAACAAGTAATTATGTATCTTAACAGTACAAACTAAGCAGAGTGAGTATGAAACAGTACTTTTCTGAAATGCTCTCACACCAGCTGAAAAATGGCTACTCTTAAGTGCAATGTGAAGCAGTGTGTGTGTGTGTGTGTGTGTGTGTGTGTGTGTGTGTGTAACCCAGTGTATTTGTGGTTGCTGATCACCATTAAATAACATACATCCTTTCTTGTACCAATAATATTTCAAACAAGGCTTAGTTGGATTTTTCTAGGGATGCATCAAATTCTATCTTATATTCAAGCAAGGGTGCTTATTCTAAAAAGGATGGTGAAAAGGCTGAAAAAGCTGCTCAAGTGAATGCATTGGGTGAAAATCAATGTCACATGAGCAGACTTCCACCTGCATCATGGGGCTTCCCCTTCCTCACCTCCTCTCTGTTGCCCCCCCCCCCGACCCTGAATCTGCTCTGGGTGGCCTCCCAACCCTAAGGAAAGCTGCTAGCCATGATAGCTACTGCTCTGCCTCCATAGTACTTCTGAATACTAGTTTCTAGAAACCACAAGAGAGGAAAGTGCTCACAGATTTATTGAGAGCTGCACAAGTTATTATAGCTAGGAGGTGGAAGGGGCAAGGTGAATATAAAATGGAATAATGGTATGAAGAGGTGTGGAATATAGCTATTAATGATAAATTAACATGTGCCATTAAGGTAAGACAGGGAATATGCAGGAGAAATTATTCTGAGGAAATATGGAAGGTATTTGTAGAATTTGTACGGTTAAAATGGAAAGGGGTCAAACCATAGCAAGAGGTGCTGAAATTTTGGGAGGTCTTGAGTTTTGATAACCTCATAGCAATAAATAAGTTCCCCCACAATGAAATCAACTTTTTTGAATAAATTTTACTATGCTTTTTTTCAAAGTCAGATAGTGTAGAAGCCAATTATATAGTATAGGTTTAAATATTTCTGGTCCTGTGTCTCAAAAAACCCCACAAAACTATACACTAGGTAAATATCACTCTAGACCTAGAGCTTCAGTATGCTGATGACAACATAGTGTGTGCACACTCAAAGGATAACCTCCAAACCATCCTAAATATCTTTGAAGCATCTAAAAAACTTGGCCTATCACTCAACATCCAGAAAACCAAAGTGCTGCACCAACAAGCACAAAACAACCCCTCTGCAGTGCCACAATTTCAACTCAATGGTGTAACATTGGAAATTGTTGATGACTTCTCCTACCTGGGCAGTTATCTTTCCACAAGGGCTGACATTGATGCCGAAATCCAGCATCACCTGAGCTCTGAGAGTGCAGCTTTCTCCCAATTGAACTACAGAATGTTTGAGGATGGAGACATTTGCAGGGAAACCAAAATGCTTGTTTACAAAGCTATTGTACTCCCAACCTTACTGTATGCTTGTGGAACATGGACCACTTATAAACGCCATCTCCAGCTCCTCGAAAGATTCCACTAACGGTGTCTCCGAAAAATGTTACACATCACTTGGGAAGACAGATGAACTAATGCCAGTGTACTGGAAGAAGCAAAGATTACCAGTGTTGAAGCAATGATTCTTCAACATCAACTTTGTTGGACTAGTTATGTTGTTTGGATGCCTGATTATCGTCTTCCAAATCAACAACTTCATTCCCAGCTTAAGAATGGAAAGCAAAATACCAGTGGTCAACAAAACAGGTTTAAAAATCTTCTTAAGGCAAATATAAAAAAATGTAGTATAAGCACTGATAACTGGGAAACACTGGCCTGCGAGTGCTCCAATTGGAGAACAGGCTTTACCAAAGGTGTCAAGGACTTTGAAGACGCTTAAACTCAGGACCAAAGGGAGAAAAGTGCTAAGAGGAAGGCACGTTTGGCAAACCCTCACCATGATAAACTCTGGCCCAAAAACCTATGTCCCCACTGTGGAAGGATGTATGGATCCAGAACTGGCTTCCACAGTCACTTACGGACTCACTGTTAAAACCGTGTTTGTGGAAAACAAGATTACTTGGCCACAAGTGATTGCCAAAGAAAAGAGACATGTTAACACAACCTGTTACTTTGCATACCTTGAATTTTTTACTATGAAAAACCAAGTCAGAAGTTTGCTTTCAGGATGTTTTAATTATTATTTTTTAATAATAATAATTAAAAATACTGAAGAAGCAGAAGGATGCACTTTCAATGTATTCAGTACCTTACAAAGTAGCACAGGTCCCTGCTCTGAAAAGCTCACAGTTAAATCTGAACTTTCCTCTTACGTTTTGTTCTTGTTTAACATTTTCAAAGCCTTGTTGTAAGGCATGCCTTCGAACTGGGGAGCATAAGGCTCAACTCTGCTTCTGAATATAAATGACTCACAATATTTTATAATATTTGTAACAAAAGTCCCTGTGGATTTTTGTTTTTATTCCAAACACATCCTCCCACCGAGGGCTTATGAGAGTGAGTCATAGTTATGTCATGAAAAACCACTTCAGATTTAAATAAGGGAAAATTAATAACTTTTGCCTATTTAAGGTCTAAATATATCACCAGTGCAATGAACTGTTTTGACTACTGATGTGCTGAAATGGTTTTGTTTCAAAATTATACCATCTCAACTTTTAGTGAAGTATATTAATCCACAGTGTGTGTCGTGAACATCAAAGTTATATGGCATACTGGTGGCCCTTGCAAGGAAAGGCTGCAGTATAAGGTAAGGTAAAGGACCCCTGGACAGTTAAGTCCAGTCAAAGGTGACTATGAGGTTGCAACACTCTTCTCACTTCAGGCCGAGGGAGCCGACCTTTGTCCACAGACAGATTTCCGGGTCATGTGACCAGCATGACTAAACCGCTTCTGGCACAACGGAGCACCGTGACAGAAACCAGAGCGCACATAGATGCAGTTTACCTTCCTGTCACAGCAGTACCTATTTATCTACTTGCACTGGCGTGCTTTTGAACTGCTAGGTTGGCAGGAGCTGGGACAGAGCAACGGGAGCTCACCCCATCATAGGGATTCAAACCACCGACCTTCCAATCAGCAAGCCCCAGAGGCTCAGTGGTTCAGACCACAGCGCCACCCGCTGCCCATGCTGCAGTGTAACCCCACCCCCTAATGGAGGTGCTCTTGTTCAGCAAGCCAGGTGGCTCTCCTCCAGGACACAGTGAGCAGGAAAGGGTTCAAGAAGGACAATTTGCTCTTCCCCTCCTCTCCCCATTACACCTTTGAATTCCAGTTGCTGGGAACTGCAGGTGAGCAGAGTGCTACTCAATACATCAAGTATCTCACTGGCAACTAAGAACACACATCAACCACTGTTCATGTTTGATCCTCCATCAGGCTTTCTGTGGAAGAATGCCCCCTTTTGGAGTTTTAAAACCTGTCTCTTTTGTTTTCACACATACACACACATTGCCCACTCTGGTAAAATACCAGTGTGGTGTACAACAATATCTACAAATACAGTAATGCATAAGATAGCATAAGAAGAAGGAAAAAATAATCATATATATAAATGACTGGCTCATCTTGGGTGGTGATGGCAACAAATAAGCAACTGAATAGGCCTGTCAGTATGAAAAAGGCTATGAGAAAGTTAGCAGCAAAGATGCCTGCCAAATCTCTGCTGGAAAAATATTCCACAGTGTTGGGATTGGTGACACGAAATGCTCAACTCCTAGTTGACGCCCAGCAGACTTTCGAGATTTGAAGGCAGCACGTGAATGTTCTGAATATATAAGTTAACAAAATAATGTATTTCCACGGTACTTCTGCAAGCTTTGGGGTTCCCCCAACCAAGCTGATACTTCTCTCTTGTTCTTGTTGGCTCTGTTTCTGTTGGCATGGTGGCAGTGAGGCTGCTTCATGGCAAGTTTCAAACCCAGTATTTGGGATTTAAAAAACCAGTCTGATTTCCTTAAAATCCTTAACCCAAGATGCTAAGAATCTAACCTGAGGCTTCATGGCCATGGAATGTGCTCTCTCCCTGGAAAAGCTACACCAAACATGCTGCTGGTCTCACTCATTTACATATCAGGCATACCCTGCCATGGCTACATTATGCATGTAGACATACGCATGCTGTTGATGTTGATATACAATACCTTTCCTTAGCAGATATTTATACATTTTTAACAATCTCTTGGTATGCTAATCCATATTCAAATTGCATGTTGCAGCTCTCCGATTACCCTTCTGGTTCATTATATTTACCTGTAAGTCACTGACAGACATTGTTTGCACTGCCATCTGGAATGCATACTGTGGTCTCCAGAACACAAGCCTCAAGCTAGTGGAAACTAACTACATCATGAAAGTGACAGGCACATTAAAAGCGTATTGAATGCTGTCCTGCCTTACCCATACTGACATACAACTACAAAACAGCTTTTACGTGGGTCCTGTAAGATGCTGCAAGCACCGTCCTTCTTCCTATGGCTCAAGGTTAAGTATCGCTGCAAATAACGGATAATAAAACAGGGCAAGAGAATAACAATAAAGAATAGGGAAGGAGATATTTTGTATTACTCTAAATATAAACATGAACAGTGGGAGGAACAGTAATTTCCTGTTTACACTATTTGGGGAACAAAATAATATTCTGGTCTCGATGTGATCTCTCTGGCATTATGCAATAGGAGCATCCACAGCGACTCTCAAAATCTATTTTGTAGTTATAATGCAGATATAACGCTTGCCTTAAAAAACAACAACCCACCAGTAATAAAGGCCTAGTATTTGCATGCTTGGGATCATCTTCAAGTCGAGTTTACTAGCATGTTATCAATAAACAGTACCTATGCACAGCAGCGATCAACACATTCACGCTGATGCTGGCCAGACTGAAAAGCAACAGGCCCGGCAGGAGAAAAGGAAGCTTTCCTTCAGTGTGAATAAGAAAATATCAACAACAGATCTCTCTCTGGTTTAATGCACCCTCTTACTCAGCTACAAGTGATCACCAAAGAAGAAGAAGCGGGGGAGATAACATGAGAAGGGGGAGAACCATGTAGACCACTTTGAGCTCCTTGGGGGTGTAGCAGGAACCCCCCCCCCATCATTCAGTTTGTACAAACTTCACACACACTCACACTCACACACTACATATGCTACGCTTCTGTTATAAATTCATAGAAAATCAACCATACATCAGATTTGCACTGTTCCACTTTTATTTTACTCCATGAAGGAAAGACTACAAAATGGGGAAGGTTTGATATAGGGCACCATAATCCCTTCACCACCCCAGCACATCCACAGGAGCCCTGCCCAGTTGCTATGCCAACCCTGATGGTCCTAGACAGAAGACAATCAAGATCACAAAGAACTTCCATATGGGAGTGGATTCAGCATGGACTGGAACAAAGGACAATGATCAGATCTTCCCTCAGGGGACAGGAAACTGCGACTACCTTTTGTCTTCAGAAAATGACTCATGGGGAGGGGGAGAAGGGAACCAGCCAGGTGACAGGACACTCAGGTTACCACCACAACTCCTCCCTCAACCCATCCTTTCTGTAATGTATGCATGATGTTTCTGGGGGTGGGCTTGACCTACAGGATGGCAATTTCAAAAGTTTTTATAAGGTCTTGCACACCATTTTTCTGTGTCTTTCCTCTCTCCTGCAAGTGAAGGGAACACCCTGTTGCAACAGTTCAATAAAGGCCAAGCCTATATGCTGCTGATTTGCTCCGATTTACTCTGGTTGGTGTCTTTACTTTTTGTCCAAGGGAGCCCTCGGATTTTTCCGGTAACAGGGGGGAAAGTGGGATATAAATGCTAAAATAAAATAATCATCCACCTACAATGTGTGTTGCTCTTAGGAGCTCCTTTTCCGACTTACTGCTCTGATCACTGTTTCTCCCCAGTTCATCACCATTTATTATTTGTAAAACTGCACAAAATACACTAGGGTTTGGGTAACAACATTTTGCTAACACCATCCTCTAAAGCATTCCAAGGTCACTTTGTTCCCTCAGAATGTCACCCCTTGCTTCCATGTAGGGAGTTCTTCAATGTTCTTGATTTCGGTGCAATCTAAACATGTCAAGTTCTACATCAGATTCCACATAAATCACTTCAACGCCCGCCTCAATGAAAAACTCCCAAAAGAAGGTTGGAAACTTTTGTCAGTTTGTGACTTTCAGTACCCCTGATAAGAGCTCCTCCCTATCACCAAAACAGGTTGGCTGAATCCCAGAGACTTATATCCTGTTAGCATGTGTGAAGTATACTTATGGGAGACATGGTGAGTGTTAGAGCAGATGTGCTTGCTGTGAATATCACCAAAGCACTAGAACGATAAACTATGTTAAGATCCAGAAGCACACATGAGCCTGTCTTCAAGGCATGCACAGAACTCTGGAATGTGTGGAGATCACCATTCATTTAAAATTAAGGGTATAATCTGCACGCTCATTCCTTTTACATGCATGGAGCTGTAACATTTAATAAAACAAGTGAGAAGATCCTTGCAAATGGAATTCAGCTAATGTGTCCCTGGCAAATGCTATAGAATTGTTATATGAATTTAATTAAAAAATATTTTAAATGTTTAAAAATAGGTATCACTCAATATCCAATGATAATAATGAAGGTATTGATTTATAATAATTAAACCCGTTGGAATATGGAGAAAGGGGGGGCATTAAACTAAGATTCCCCCCCCCCAACAAATTTAAATTGTGTTCAAAACCAGCCTGATAAAGAGCCTAGACTTTACAAAAGAGCAAATGCACAGCACAAATGTTGCTTAGGTGTATTGCATGGAATGCTGGTGTCTTATCCTGTTCTTCAAACTAACTCTGAACTATTTCACACACCAAGCACAATCCAATTGATGTTCTTGCTGTTCAACATCCATTCATTTAAAAGAGGCTTGCACAGGCTTCGTATGCGCAGTGCTGGAATGAAGAGCGAAGCAGTGGACTGCACTCTTTTGTCTTTATATACGACAAAGGCATGACTGTGAATCTGAGAACAGCTCAGCTGCCATTCTTTTGTGGATGTTTATCTGATGCTATTCCTGTTCTTGCAGATTTCCACACAGCCATTTGTTACAGATGCAGATGCTTGGTCTGCATGCATTATTATCCCCAGGGTGATATGCATCAAAACGGCTTCTGTTGGTTTTCACTGGGTCCACCATGTGACATAATTATCAGCAGTAATCAGTCAGCAGTGCAACATCTTTTAAAGCATGCTGCTATCCCTGAGAGCAAGGATCCTCCCACAGTTAACCGTTAAGATGTTATCTGTATGGAGCAAACCTAAAATCACTGCAGATTCAAGGAGGAGTAGGCTTTGGTTGTAAAACGGAGGTGTTGACCTCATGAGAAAGGAACGTCTTCAACCACTCTGAGCTATGATGACTGGATTGTTCACCCTTATCGTATGTACAGTGGGTGACATTTGTCGTAAACTGCCATGATTAATCATTTCACTGTATCCAACGCAGCACGAGTGCAAGGAGGCTTGTGAAAAGACATTTGTGTCGGGGCTATTCCCCCCTGCAGCCCCTGAGCCTCCTGAAATCTACTAAATCTAAAAGCCATGATTCAAAGCACGTTCCAGATTCTTGGTTGAGGTGAAGTTTTGTTAATTTAACAAAAATTAAAAAATGTTTTGCTCCAAATCCCTATGGAAAATTTGGATGGATGCCCTAGGAACAATGTCAAAAATGTTGTCATAACATCGCTAATGTTATTTATTCATTGAAAAGATTTATTCACCGCCTTTATGCCCTTGCAAGGGTTCCCTTGGTTGTCTATACTCATGCCTAAAAATTAAACAGCAAATAAACAAAATCTAGGATCATAAAAATAAAACACCAACCGAACTATTAAAATTGGAGCCACCTAATTAAACAATGGTGGTAGGAAACTCAGCACAGACAAAATTTTGCCTGGCAAAATAAAACAGGATTAACAGTGTGTCTAACAGTACAGTGCAATCCTCTACATGTCTACTCATAAGTAAGTTTCAGTGAGTTCGATATGGTTACTCCTAGGTAAGTGGGCATAGGACTGCAGCTGAAACATTGTGAGAAAGGCAGCCAAGCAAGTCTCACTGGGATGTAGGATCCATAGGTTGGTGATGCAACCCAAATGCCACGGCTGAGCCTTCACCAACCATGCCACCAAATATTGTGGAACTACCAAACCAGTAGTGATGTATGGAAGTGAGAGCTGGACCATAAAGAAGGCTGATCACCGAAGAATTGATGCTTTTGAATTATGGTGCTGGAGGAGACTCTTGAGAGTCCCATGGACTCCAAGAAGATCAAACCTCTCCATTCTTAAGGAAATCAGCCCTGAGTGCTCACTGGAAGGACAGATCCTGAAGCTGAGGCTCCAATACTTTGGCCATCTCATGAGAAGAGAAGACTCCCTGGAAAAGACCCTGATGCTGGGAAAGATGGAGGGCACAAGGAGAAGGGGACGACATAGGACGAGATGGTTGGACAGTGTTCTCGAAGCTACCAGCATGAGTTTGACCAAACTGCGGGAGGCAGTGGAAGACAGAAGTGCCTGGCGTGCTCTGGTCCATGGGGTCGCAAAGAGTCAGACATGACTAAACGACTAAACAACAACAACAACAACAACAACAACAACAACAACCAAACCGGGTTGTACATGTAAATGCACAAATAATAAGTTACACTCATTTTTCATTTGATAATATTTCATAATTTTAGCTATCAGATAATGAGAGGGAGTCACACACTGCCCACTGTTGTTCCCTTGCAGAAAACAGTCTATAGAACAGGTTCTAAAAACAAAGAAATATTTACCATATTTTTCAGTGTATAAGACACCCCCATGTATTAGAAGACCCATATTTTTTAAACCCCAAATTAAGAAATCAGTATTTTAAACACCAGAGAT